GAGCTTGGCAAAGTATCTCAGCAAGCAGATTGTTCTCGCTAACCCCTTAGGAGAGTCACAGCTTCACAGGCTATCACAAAGCTTAGCGGAATATCACGGAAAACAGCTCTCACCAACCCCTTTAGAGGAAAGGCCAGACTTCATAGGCAATCACGAAGCTTAGAGAAATATCTCAGTAGACAGGTGTTTCTTGCCAGCACTTTAAAGGAGAACTATGGGGTTAAGGCTTTTCCCCATATAGTTCTCCTTAGGGTAACGGGAGGACACAAACTAGCGCCCTCCCGTCACCCTAGGCTCAGTATACCGCAAGCTGTAGTTCGCTGTATACTGAGACGCCGCAGCTGAAGCGGATCCCGACAATTGTGCCCGGATTTGTCCAGCTGCGTGACTGACAGCTGGCTCTGCCTATCTAGAGGCAGAGCCAGCTGTACCCGCCCCCTCCCCCGTCCGGCCAGTCAGCACTGGCGGATCAGAGCGGGGAGAGGAGGAATCCAGCTCTCTGCCGTGACAGGATCGAGAGGTGAGCGAACGCCGGTATGTGTTCGCTCACCTCCCGATCTACTGAGCCAACCTGCGACAGTCTCATTGTCACAGGTCGGCTAGAACTATGAGGTGAGTGAAAAGCACTCAACTCATAGTTCTCCTTTAAGGGGACAGTCCGGTTTCATAGGCAATCAAAGAGCATAGCGAAATATTTCAGCAGACAGGTGCTTGTCAACAGTACCTTAGGAGTGGAGCCCAGGTTTCATAGGCAATCATAGAGCATGGCAAAACATCTCAGCAAGCAGGTTATCCTCACAGCCCCTTAGGAAGAAAATCCAGAATTCATAGGCTATCACAAGGCTTAGCCAACTATCTCAGCAAAACAGGTAGTTCTCACCAGCTCCTTAAGAGGAAAATCCAAGCTTCATATACAACTGCAAAGGTTAACATAATATTTTAGCAAACAGGTGTTTTTCACCAGCCTCTTGAGAAAAAAAGCCCAGATGTCATAAACACTCACAGAGCTATAACAAAATGTCCCAGCAAACAGGCATTTCTTACTATCCCGTTAAGAGGAGAGTCCAGGCTTCATAGGCAATCACAAAGCACCAATACATTATCTCAGCAGGCCAGTATTTTCTCACCAACTCCTTGCAGCTCACATCAATCCTCTTCTTGTAGCCAGTTGTAGTCCCCTGCCTCTATTGCAGTAATGATCTGATTAAATGCCCACATGCATATCAGCCTCGCAGCCAGCTCTCCTCTCTCTTCCCGTTAGTAGCACCTTACAAATCTTGTTCAGGGTCCAGTTCTCTCGGTGTGTCCGTCCTCCCATGTGTCAGTCTCCCGGCCCGTCTAACTCAAACTGGTATCCTCCTAATTAACACCGCTGGTATCTCATGGCAGCAGGATGACGGCTTTCAGAAACTTGCTTGTAGCGGGGGATGGAGCCAAGCTAGCTGCCTCCGCTTCTGCATCCCTCCCTAAAGTGTCAATTGGGCTAGACATATTTCATTTAAGCATTTATCTCTGAAGACCATAGACACCTATGAACATGGTAAAAGAGTACTATTTAGGGCAGGGGTGCCCAAAAGGTCGATCGCAATCTACCCGTCGATTGCAAAGCTAATTCTGGTAGATCGCGATAATAAGTTGGAATTAGCTGCTCTGTTTATCTGGGAGCTCAGCTGCTGCTAGCTGGGTGCAGTTTGCTGTGTTGGCCAGCAGGTGGTACTTTGTCCCGCCACAGTCGCTGACACTGGAAGCCACGGCACCGAGCTCAGCATGCAGGTACTCTGGGGGAATCAGAGCCGGTCCGTTGGAACACACAAATCCTACACCGGCCTGGGCCGGGTGAGTGGTGTTCTTTATCATAGGGAAGGGGCATTGTGTACTGCAGCCTAGGTTATCTCTACCCCTATACACAGCCGTACAAGACTCACATCTCCATAGACAGCTGCTTGTGTATTGCATGTGTCTGCAGAATCTATATTATAGTGAGCATTGGTTAGATTGGATGCTGCAGGACCTTAAGACCATGCACTCCCCTACAGGACTGTACCCCCCACCTACACACCATGCCCCCACCTACACACTATGCCCTCACCTACAGACCATGTCCCCACCTACACACTGTGCCCTCACCTACAGACTGTGCCCTCACCTACAGGACCGTGTCCCCACCTACAGACCATGCCCCCAACTAACAGGACTGTGCTCCCACCTACAGGACTGTGCCCCCACCTAATTGTATACATCCTGGTAAAATTTGTGTTTGTATACATTTTATTTCAAGAATACGAATATTTATTACAAATACTACAGTAGTAATAAAAAGAAAAAAGGTTGTGTCCACTTTTTTTGTCAGAAATATACGGTAGTTAGAAAACCTTTCACAATACTGTATATACAATCATGTGAATAAAAAAGACCATACAGAAACCGACTTTTTTTTACATATTTGAACAGGCAAATATTAGAACTTCTTCTGACTGCAAGCTGCCCAGGGTTTCTCTACTGAAATGCTGTCTTTGGTTTGCGGAAAGCATTTCTGTTGTAACTTTGGCCAGCAACTCTTTGATTCAATAGTCTACAGTCTTCAATAGACTCTACAGTACATTGTTTCAGAAGGCCTTGTCTTTGTCTACATGCTCAATGGCAAACTTGCTCTAATGTTATTTTTGGACAACAAAGGCTTTTTTTCTGGCACTACTCTTACGCAGGTTAAATTGGTGCAACTGATTTTAGATCCATGCACTTTGACCCCAACTTTTGCAAGAGCTACCTGCAGATCCTGTAATTAAATTTTGGGGTTCTTGGTGACTTCTTATAGCATCAGTCAACTCTTGGGGACTGTTTGCTAGGCAAATAAGGTCCTGGACAAATTAGCAGTCATTTGAAATCTACGGCACTTGTAGATTTAACATATTTTGGCAATCTTTTAAAATCCCTTGCCAGCCTCCTAAGCCCCTCCAACCTTCTTTCTGTGGACCTCAGAGAGCTATTTTGATCTTGGTATGATGGACACCATACATGGCAATAGCATATAGAGCACCAGAAACTAGATATCAGAGATTTAAGACCTGTTTCACCTGCACATCCCCTAAGGAGGTTCTAATCTCTGGCACCTAATCTGAAACATCCGATACTAATTTAATGGATTTTAAGGGGTGGTAAATGGTGACCTATAACGTAGATAAATGAAGTACATTTTTCTTGAATGTGTTTGTAATTACAACAGTAAGAAGCTGCCCTGTTCTGGCAGCACACTGGAGAACCACAGAGCACAGTGATCCAGGTACAAGCAAGGACTTGACACACCCCAAGTGCTTCAATAAACAATGCTGCTCAGGGAACATGCTGCCAGCACAGGGCAGTGTCTCACTGTTTTAATCATGAACTCTTTTTTTTTAAATCCCATATTCTTTAAATAACAAGATTTCAACTGGGCATTAAAGACTACAAAAACCAAAACAAATCAACTTTGTTGCTGATAAGAATATATATCCACAATAATTCAGTGGATGTCTTGCCACCAAAATGCTAACTAAAATATGAAGTAAAAGGCCAGATCCTTCAGCAGCTTTGTGAATAACCCCCTAAGTAAAAACATAGTAAAATGTTTTGAATCACTACATGAACAAGGACACCGCACCCCTAATATAGGTAAACAGCAAAAAAAAACCTTTGATTAAGGGGGTTATTCACAAAGCTGCCGTAGGCACCCGAGTGAATAACCGACCCAAAGTGAAGTGAGCCGAACACTGTTCAGCTATTCACTTCAGGCTTGTATGGCTGATTTCAGCCATATATCGGCTGAAATCAGCCGTACATCGGGTGGCTTCAGGTCGACCGAACATGCTCAACATGTTCAGCCGACCCAAAGGGCAGAAGGAGTTCTAGTCAGCCGATCCAACATCTGGATCGGCTGAGCCGAACCTCCGGCAGGCTACTCGCTGCTGTTCGGCCTATTCTCATAGATGGCGAACAGCAGTGAGTGAATAGCGGAATGCAGAATAGAAAAACAGTCAAAAAAAGTAAAAAAAAAAAATAGAAAACGATTGGGCGGAACTAGCAGTGACGGCTAGCTCCGCCCAACTGTTTTCTATTGGCAGGGACCAGTTGTCATTACAATGAGAGCTCCGCCATATCATGTGGATAATGTAATCTTTTAATAAATAAATGTTATTTTACTATGTAATTTTGTCATTACTATGTTGTATTATCCCTAATTGCATTTTTGACACATTAAAAGCCCCATCTACCCCAGTAAAAACACCAGCTTGGTTTTGTTTGAGGTTCTGCTTTGGGTTTCTGTTTTGGCAGTAGGAGATTTCTGCTTGGAAAAACACAATCAATGGCCAATAGATGTAAACAAAAGTTTGTCCTTATTTTAAAACCTTATTTTATGCTTTACATAGCATGGGAAAATATTAGAACCTGTTATTTATTTATTTTTTGCTGTCTGGGTCTCTGCTGGATAGATTTACCCTGTTGTCGATTTTCAGCAGGACAGAAAGGGATGGGAAATCCAAAATTTTACAATTGTCACTGGAACAGAAGTTGAGGAAAAAAAAAAGTCCTATTGGGACACCTGTTTTGGTTATTACCTTTAACTTCTTTCCAGGACAGGAAGTGAAGATAAAACCTTCCTTAAAGACAGAAAATTACTGGCTACTGAATACTACATAACTGATAATGATTTTAATTATCCTCTACTCTATCTTAAGCTGAAAAAAGTATTGGCTTTAAAAACTCTTTAAACAGTTTTGCTACATAAATCCTATCACTTCAAGGTCATCTGTAAAAGCATTTGCAAAATAAATATAAAAGTAAACCAAATAACTGGTGATTTAATAGTGTGTCAGAACTTGTAAAATGCTAAAGAAAGACTTTCATGCATTACTGCTTTTAATTTAACGTCTTTGCTGTGGAACTCCTGAAAGAGTTATAGCCAGTAAGCAAACGATACTGAATAACAAACCCCCCGACTATAAAAAAACAAGATTTCTGCTTACCTGTTCATTTTTGGTCAGTCTGGTTTTATTGTGAACATCAGATGTAACCAAATTGAACCCATGCCTCTCAGACAGGATGCGCAGCAATAAGACGACCGTTCTGCTACCACACTTTCCGACTCTGTTATACACTACTTGACTGGGAAATGGTAGAACCTAAACATGAAAAAAAAATGTCAGTTTCCAAACACAGAAAGATATGTCTTATGGAACATTTTTCACGTAAATCCAATTATGTGCTGGGAATCATATTGTTTGAAGGTTATCACAGCCCTTCTAAAGTCATTAGGTCTATGCATTTGTCAGATAACATACATTTCGGAAGAATCTGCCATTCTGAACTCTATTCCTCCCTTTAAGCAGAGATCAATTAAAAAAATACCAAAGCATTTAGTCACGTTACATCGGAACTCTCCTCACTTATGTGACCACGTTCTTAAAAATAATGAGCCAATATACACTGATTATTCTTACAGATTCACTGGTCTCCAGACAGGAGACTGTATAATGTACAGGGAACATTCAACTGCTAGTTATATGTTGTATATATAAAATAAGAATGAACATTGAAAGGTGTCGCAATTTCCCAAATCTGGACTACACTGTGTATACACCGAGTGGCCAGATTATTATGACCACGCCATCAGTACTTTGTTGGGCCGCCTTGTGACTCCACGAGATGTTGAAAGGTAATGCGAGGAATCTGACACTGCACTGTTGCCCTTCTGTTGTCTTGTACCAGTCTTGCCACTCTCCGTTCTGCCCTAACATTGACTAGTCGCTGACGGCCACAATTCGCACGTTCAGACCCAGATTTTCGGCTGACAGTCCATCTTTAAACACTTTAACAACAACTGCAATCATCCCACGTTCAAAGGCTGTTAAATCACGTTGTTTACCCATATCTTCAGAAAAAAAATCACTTCTATTGTCGTGGTAAACAACCTGCTTCCCTATTTATAATGGTCTGGCCCTCTAGCAACTTCAGCGCGAAATTATAGCCAATTATAGCTAATTTGCCTACAAACGTCAAGCGGTCATAATAATCTGGCCACTCAGTGTATGTATATATAGATATATATATCTATATATAGAGATATATATCTATATATAGAGATATATATATATACTGTATATTATTCAGGAGAGGGTAAGATTCAACAGACTGTAGTATGCAGGCCAGTAAATGTCCTCATCTGAGCATAGAATGCTAAGATCAATGCCTGAGAACCACATAAGTTCAGGTCATGAAATATTTAAGAGTGCATGTTTCAAAAACACTTGTGCTGACCAAGATAGTAGAGCGGAATTTATATAGACATAGGAGCACAGTTGTTTTCATGCTTCATTCCATCAAATTAACTGAGAATTTAACTGCATATGAAGATTGATAATCAACATCTATTTATACTTTTCAACATGCTTATGGTCTTGGGACACACTACAGTATCATAGCCAGTTCTGCTAGCATACATTTCAGAGTCCAAATGAAAAAAGCAATAAGTGATATCTCCCAACCTTCTGGAATGAGAAAGAGGGAAACCTTTTAGCTCAAACTATGTAGGTAAAGGACATTCCCCTGCCCTGCCTGAGTAACATTCCATTTGCTGAATATCGCAAACAATTTGTTTTTACCTTTTTTATCTTTTGTTGTACACACTGCTGATTTTGTGAAACCTTTTTGTAGACACTTCATGTCTACATGCATGCACTACAACAACTGCCACATGCCATTTCTCAGGGTGGGTTTCCTGATGGCGACAATTGTAGGCCACACCTGTGCAACGTGTATCGGAACATCTACTTGTCTCCATTGGAAGCCGTATTACAGGGAGACAACACAAAAGAACAACTAGGGGAAAAGGACAGAGCATCCTCAACCTATAACAGGAAGTACCTGAACAACCACCTTCCAACCAGCTTCAGAAGGAGGTCAATCATGTGAAGCTCAACAGCAGGTGAAATGCACCAGTCAATGAACTAAGGCAAAGTGCACCTGAAGGCATGTTTCATTTGCCAACAAACGCAAGCCCTAATGGCTTGTTTACACTAGCCCATTAGCTAAAATGCTTCATTTGTGTGTTGACAGCTTCCGTGGGTGGGCAGAGTAATGCGCTGTCTCCAAACCTGAGCTCAACTCTACTAGTGAGTCAGCCAGCTGCTCATAGCACTGTGCTGCCTGTCATTGAAAATGATCAGTGTTTTTATAAAGTAATGTGCAATAACATACCAGGAAACCAGCAACAACCAACTTCTGTTTTCCCTACCTTTATAAATAAGCCACAAATGTAAGTATTTTCCTTTGCTTAAATCATGTAAACCTCAGGACAGCAAACTACAGATATGGAAGCACAGATCCATGCAGTCTCTAGTGTTAAGGTTCTCCAGCCACAACTTTATTTTTTAGTTTTGGAATGATTTCCTGAAGTTTTCATTACTGTCTGTGCACCCAATGGAAGATTTCCCCTCAGTTTCTATCCCTGTTACATGCCCCCAAAAAAGGGGGAAGAGTGTCACTCATACAGGAACCCACAAACAATATTATAAAGTTTGATATGATGTCTCATCTTTCCTCTACAAAAAGTTTTGTGTTGCATCGCTGTCCCCATTATATCCCATCACATCCTATTATGATGGAATTCTCACGAGGGTAGGAAGGAGGAAGTTACCAATATGCACACACATAGCAATACAAATCTAAAAGAGGTTCTATGTCTGCCCCGTTCCATTCCAAACAATAAAGATTAGGCTGGAGTTAGGAATTAAAGTAAACCTGCATAGAAAAAAGATTTGCTATGTTATACGGAACATCTAAATATATTAATTAAATGCATTGTGCTTAAGCAGTATGCTGAAAAATGTACCATTCTGTCTGGAATTCCTCCTGAAATATAAAAGCCCTGCCTCTACCAAGATCGTCATCTCTACAAAGAGACAGATTGCAGAACAAGGCATGGTAAGTCAATAATGGGGAAAAGATCAGCTGCAGGGCGATCACAGGCAATTTTTAGGCACAACTTCTAGAGTTCAGATGCTCTTTACAGAAATGCCTTCAAAAAATGGGAAAAGAGAACCCCCAGCTGTTCAGCACCTAATCTGAATACATCATGTAACAGATTCAAGATTTTCCACAGTATACTTATGTGGAATGTTAAGACAGAGGCAAGAACGAGCAGAAGCCAAGGTAAAAGTTGAACAACAGGGGACATAATTCATTCAGCACACTTGCAAAAATGGGAGAAGTAAGTCAATTTTTAATCACTGCCTTACATCTCACCTATAGATTATTTGCAGATTTTCTATGGTCAGATGAAAAAAGTGCAACAGATTCCTCCATCAATGCTAGATGGAGGAATCTCCCGCTGGGTCAAGCTTCAGTATCTTGCTAGTCGGCCTCACTGGCTGTCACAAATACCTTAGCAATCTTATTGGATGCAGGCATTGTTCAGGTTTTTTTTTTTTTAAGCATGTATTTATTTATTAAGTTTCACAGAATACATCACATTTGACATTTTACATATCACGTATATTGTTGTCTCATCATGCAACCAGCCGGCTACATGCTTTACGATATCTATTCTGTCATTTCCTTCTTGAAAATAGGTAAAACAGGTAAAACAAGTAACTCTTGATGAACAGTTTGTCATAATACAAATTATAATTCTCCTTGGTGTCTAGAACCTAGTGGTAACAACCATCATAAAAGTGGGCCGGGGAGGAAAGTAGGAGATATGAGGTGAAAGGTGGTGGCCTCTTCTACCTGGCTAACATCTACCTGTGAGTGACCGTTGGGGGTAATGATCCGGTTGGTATGAAGAGGGCGATAGGATTGGGTTGTTCAGGTATTTTGAGAGCCAGCGGGCCAACTGGCAAGATACTGAAGCTTGACCCAGTGGGAGATTCCTCCATACACACAATTTAGCGTAGATGAAGGAATTTCATTCTGTTGCACTTTTTCCATATGACCACAGAAAATCTGCGGAAAATCTATAGCTTCACACACCCTCTCTTATAAACAACTTTTACAAAAACAACACATAAAACCATCCCATTCAAGTTGGCATTAGCAGAGTACCAAGCCCATGTTGTGATAAACATAACAGCTGAATTTTCTAGCTGGTAGGGCTACACAAGAAACATTAGCAGTTATGATTAAATGTTACAGATGATTCCAGGCAACTGACAGCCCCAGGCCCAAATGAAATATTCCAGCTGTTCAGTGCAGCTAAATATGTTGACACTGAATAAATATTAAACATTATGCAATGTAATTCTCCATCTGGGAGATAGCAGTTGTCATTTAAAGTAAGCCATTAGAGTATTTCTAGGTTTATCTTTGGAGACATTCACAATGACATGATTTGATGATGATGAATATATTTAGACTATTGAGGAATAACATGAAAAGGTTCATTCAGCAACTAGTAGATGAAGCTGTTTTACAGATACCATGAACTGCATTACAATTATACATAAGTTTCAAGGACAACCTGCTGGGTATGTGCAAAGAATAGACAAGTGAAGCCACACTGGTTTTAACACAGCCTAAGATGAAGTTCAAAAAGCCTAAGATCTAAAGCTCCCAAAACTGGTACTGTTTAATAAGCTGAGATGCACAGAATATAACATAAAAACATCATCCACGGTAGTGTGATACTGAACAAATAACATTTTGTATGAGCATGTATTTTATGGCCAATCAGAGAAAAATCTATAATTACATTTTAATTTCTTTTTGTCTGGTAATTACAGTCTTATACAGTTTCTCAAATAATTATCTATACTCTGGAAAACGCTATGGAAAGAACACGGCTGCATAGCAACAGTCAATACTTTGAGCATGTCAGTCTGAGAAATTTTATTTGAAAGTTCACTGATTTAGCTATTTTGTCAAAAGCAATCTAGGCTGTAATTTCTAATAAACCAGAAAATGTTATCATAGAAAATATGGGATGTAAGGTAATAAATTATTAGAATTACTGCTACTCTCCTGAAAATTATGTTTCATGTGATAAGAGAAAATAGGTATTTCAGGCATTAAAACAATTCCATTATACACAGAATAAGAAGAGAAGATCAGTGATGAAAAAATAAGCAATGTGGTTTTTATTCTTTAAAAATAAAAGAAAATAAACATCATCCTGGCAGGAAACAGC